ATATACTCACATCACACGTCATCCAATGTCCAATCCAGATGTGCATTGTCCTTAAACATGTATTAGAACATTAGAGCGATAGAAGTTAGGGCTTCTCGCCTAACACTGCTTGCACCATGATGAACAAAATTATAAAAGCACATACAAAACATTTTGAAAAAAATTCTGGGGTTTTACTTACATAAAAATTAATTTCTCTCTAACAACAAAGTTAGAAACAAAAATTACGGCAGTATGAAACAGACTTACCACTATCGCTGATGTACCACCAAGCCTATTAAGAATATAAGTTACTGGTATGGAAGTAAGGTCATTAAGACAAAGCACATCAGTACTGTTCACGCCCCTTCTGCAGATCAGCCAATATATATAAACCTCAGGGATTTCCCTGGGCTACCTCCAATCATCAGGATAGGTACCAACGAATGCATACTTTTGAAGCAAGAAGTTTCGATCTTAACAATGCTAAACACTTCTTGAAGGTTTACTATGTTCTAGGCACTAAAGATTTACATACTCGTTACTTCATTCCTATCTTCACAATAACCTCTAACGTAGGTACGCGTGTATTGTTGTTCAGTTCCTACCTTACACGAAGTAAAGAGAGATGTAGTTACCCAAAATGGTATCACAGCTAGCAGTGGCACACGCTGACGATGCCCCTCAGGGCAGTCCTGGCTGCGAGTCGATCGCTTTCTTACCTTCACGTAACATAATACCTGGCTTAGTTATAAGGAACTCACTGTCGTCTGCCTAAGGTCCAACCTCGGCACTCAGACATTTTCGGACTGATATGCCCTTTTATTTTGACAAGGGCCTGTCTCGTCTATTGAGAATGTTTCAGCACTCCGCGGACCATTAACCACTAGATCCAGTAAAGCTTCCCTCTTCCTAGTTGGTGACCAAACAAAAAAATATCTCCAGACATTGACAACTAGCCCTAGGAGGCCAAAACTGCTTCCAGTTGAGAATCCTGGTGCTCAAATCCTATTGTGTCGTTCTCCCAAGTAATACCTTATCTCCTCTGGACCGAAGATCATCTGCAACATTAGCTTTTAAGGCTTTCACATAAATCGACAGATTTACAATCTATCCCTAGGTCCTTTAGACGCTTATAAAGAGTATAGATGGTATAGAGACTAGGTATATAAAAGTGTATGAACAGATAACAATCGTGGACATCGAAAAATAGGAAATGGGTGCCTTCTTCTGTTCTTATATTCAAACTAACTTCTCACTTGTTATTTTTCTTTTCGATTTTCTCTTATTTACTTTTTTTTTTTAAATTTCCTCAATCAATGCAGTATACTCTTTTATTTCTTTCTTCTCTCCTTTCACAACAACCTAGTGGGGCCTCATGTGGATCTTGAGATGGGTTTTTAATTACCACGCACGAATGCTAGGCCAAAACGTGTGAAGGTTTGACCTAATGGAAATCAAGTTGCAAAGCCTTGGCATATACATATTCTAGTTAAAGACTTTTTCAAAAGTTATCAAAACTCTTCAGGGGTATATTCTACATTAGGTATCTCAACAATCAAAATGTGGCGGCGCGGTGGCTCACGTCCTCGCCCTGTAATCCTAGCTCTCTGGGAGGGCCGAGGGGGCGGATCGTTGACTCAGGAGTTCGAGACCAGCCTTGAGCAAGAGCGAGACCTGTCTCTACTATAAATAGAAAGAAATGAATTGGCAGCTAATATATCTAGAAAAAATTAGCCAGGCATGGTGGTACATGCTTGTAGTCCCAGCTACTCGGAGGCTGAGGCAGGAGGTGCTGAACCCAGAATTGAGGTTGCTATGATAGGCTGAGGCCATGGCACTCACTCTAGCCCGGGCAACAAAAGCGAGAACTCTGTCAAAAAAAAAAAAAAATGTGATGAAGTCTTGATGACTTAATTTTGTTCAAAGATAGAAATTAGTAAATTATCAGGAAGTGTGACTGAGCACAAAATATTTGCTTAGCATATAAGGTACCAGGAGCATTGTGCTTATGTGTTCTTTAAAAAAAAAACTGTCCTAGGAATATAAAAAGTTAAAAAATAAATACCTCCTCATAGTATAAAAATAATGCCTAATGAAATATTAAAGTTAATTTATTCATATTTACTAAATATTTGCCATCACCACAATCAATTCAGAACATTTCATCACCCGCAAGAAAAACCATACTATTAGTAGTCATTCCCATTTTTCCCCAAGACCTTAGTCCTAGACAACCATTAATTTACTTGCCATCTCTATAAATTTTGCCTATTCTGTCTATACATATAAATGAAATCATGCAATATGTAGCTTTTGTGTCTGGTTGCTTTCATTATCATATTGTTTTCAAGGTTCATCTATGTTGTAAACGTATCAATACTTCAATTATTTTTATTGCGGAATAATATTCCACTGTGTGTTACACCACATTTTGCCTTATCCATTCATCAGTTGATGGCATTTGAGTTGTTCCACTTATTGGCCATTATAAATAATGCTGCTATGAAATTTATGTACAAGTTTTTATATGAAGATGTGTTTCATTTCTCTTGGGGTAACATTTTATATTACCACTAGCAATGTATGGAGGGCTCCAATTTCCCACACCTCATCAATATTTGATTATTGTCCATCTTTTTTATGGCAGCCATCCTATGGAGATGTGAAGTAGTATCTCTATGTGGTTTGGTTTGCATTTCCCTATGGGTAAATGATGTGAGCATCTTTTCATGTGCCTTTTGGGCATTAGTATAACTTCTTTGCAAATTCTATTCAGATTCCTTACCTATTTTTAAATTACAGTTACTTATA